AGAAAATAACTAAATGATCAGCAGAGTTTGAATTAACAGAGTTCACAAACCATTTCTGTGACACATGGACCACCAATCATTTTTCCACAAGAACAATTAGCCTGGGGAAAAAAGCGGGACATATTATTTCTGTATCCATTACCATCCCTGTAGTAAACTTTCCCACATGAGCACTTCCATTTCTGCCTCTGGGTCGTGTTTTGGACATTTTCCTTTCCCAGTCGTACAAATGGAGTCAGTTCCTTGTTGTTGAGGCTCATCTCAATAGTTATTATTTCTTCTTTCCATGTTACTTTCTCCTTTCCTCATTAAACTCTGCATCAGAATAGTCATCATTCTCCATAAAAGACAACCAAATGATGAAATATGGGCATCAGTGAGCCAGTGATAGTTTAGCACAAAATCTTAACATCTGTTTATCATGAAGTTACATTTTCTCGATTCATAAGTACAGTCTCAGTTCTTGCTCAAGCTATCTGCTGCTCTCTACTAGAAACGCTGCCAAACCTAAATGACCATGTGGTCCCAGTTAGGGAATGATTTGTTACAACGGTATGAGGGAGTCTCCTTGTATGCTAAAGACTCACTGTGCATGTGTCAGTGCAGCTCTGGTTGTTTCACTCTCTATAACAGAAATATTTTCCAGCACACAGACTCTGGGACTCTTCACATTCTGAATATATCAGCTCTCAGTTTAAACTGTGTTTTTTCTCTTTATTGTGTGAAGTGTTTAAAAAGGCAGTTTTTATATTTCAAAAGCTCACGTTACGTTTCATCCAGTCAATAAAAAACATTCCACATCCTTAAACTCCAATGACTATTATTGATTATATCATTTACAGCGTGTACACAGGAAACTAAATATTTCTGTTTACTTACATGAATCTGTATCTCAATCTCCTCCCATCAGACCCGCCCAGCCATCAAATGCATATGATCCAGTATGAAAGACACAAGATTAGCCAAAGTGCCTGCTGTGTGCTGGATAACGTCTGTAAACAGGCCCTACAGGGTGTTTGGGAGTCTATTTGAAGTATGTTGAAAGTTTACTTTAATACAAAGAAACATGTCGACTACCCCAGCTGTGAAGCAGTAACACTTTCAATACCACCAGATGAAGACAAATACTTTAAAATAGCTACATTAGCGTAAAACCCCAGAACAGAATGACAGCATTAAATGAAAAACCTCATGATGCATCACAATAATTTAAATTAACAACAACTTAACAGTAATCAGTTAAATTTATACTTATTTAGTGACAGAAAAACAAAGACTACCACTCAGTAAAGTTCACAAACCACCTGTGTGACATGTCTACCAAGAAGTTTTCCACAGGAACAACAACCCTGACAAGTAGAGCCAGACATATTGTCCCGTCTTCAACCTGTTACCTGTTGTGTTTTGGACATTTTCTTTTCCCAGTCGTACAAATGGAGTCAGTTCCTTGTTGTTCAGGCTGATCTCAATAGTTATTATTTCTTCCCTCTGGTGCTGTCCGGTTCTGCTGTAGAAGGACAGTGAGGAGGCATCAAAGTTCCACAACACCTCCACCTTTTCAAGTGGTGGCATGGCCTCATCACCATTCTCCTCCTCGTTTGTAATTAACTCAGAAGACACCATGTGTTGCTTTGCTGTGTTGGCCATGTTACTTTCTCCTTCTTTAAACGATGCATCAGAATCATCATCGTTCTCCATTGTGTGAAAGCTGAGCTGCTTATCTTCCCAGCACAGTCCATACACAGCTCCATCCTTCAAGTTCTTTACACACTCTTTTTCACATAAACCAATCGTCCAATCAGACTCTTCAGGCAGACTGACCACCCACCTCTGAAAGCTGCTGGCTGTCTTGGTACTACAGATTAGAAGAGTTGCACAGCACTGTCCCAGACAGCTATTGTGGAAAACCTTCCTGTTGTCTTTGGACAGCGACATGCCAGGACCCAGAGTCTGTGGCTCA